ACTGGTGGAAAACCAGGGTGACGGAGTTGGTCGGTTTTCTGAAATATTCTACCGACTCACAGCAGATATTTACCGACAGTTCAAACTAAGCAAAAACGGTGCCGGACCACGCTTATTCATTCCATTCACATTCCATAGCACCTGCGTATCAACGAAAAATCCTCCTCTGGAAAACCAAGGTATCATAATAGCGTATACTGCGTCACATCACCTCTCCTACAGCAATGCACTGAATACCAACGTATTCCGGACGGTGGTACGGGAAGTGTACAACCAAAGGTCCGTCAGTGTTCCATCCAGAATCCTCCCGAATTCAGACAGCAGTTTATCCGAGAATACCAGTCTTATTTCAGAGCCCTCGGAATTTTCCAAAAGCCCATGGGAGGCTCTGTGCGAACAGCAACAGGCGAAAAGCTGGCACTCAACGCCCAGTCTTGTCTGCGAAGAGGAATTTCCCGAATCCACGGTGGGACAAACGTATGATATCTATGGACCGTCCCCCTACGAAATCAACACCTTGAATTTCTGTGAAAATGAAGCAGTTTGCCACCAGCCACCAGTCTTGATGGTCTGTAACATTAGTTCTCTGGAAGGACTGGGCGAAGAAGTTGTTGCCAACGAATGTTTCCTAATTTACGAGTCTTTGCGTTCACTCAGATGTACCGAGGCGAAGTTAGTGAGCGGTTGTCAGGTCGAGGTTGTTCGGACGAGGATATCGCCCAGTCTGTTTTCGAACGTTGGGCAGAATGAATCTCACAACTCCATGCTTCGTCCGCCCGGACATCGAGGCAGTTTAAGTATTCTAGAGCAAAGACTGTGCTTGAAGGATCTCATGAGCATTGCTACACGCGTTAAGCTTCATAACGGAGAAACTGCCTGCGAAGTGCCTTTACCTTCTGCTTCCATGCGATTCGTAATAAAACCAACGGATATTAGAAAGGTAAGAGCAGTATTCTTCCTGTTCGATATACATGAGTACTGGAGAAGTATTGACTAAAGGCTTTTGTAGTTACATTTAAAACGACTAATTAAGCGAATTTAGTAATATCGGCTGGCATGGTAAATAAGTTCAAGTTATATTGCTCACGGACGACGAAGTGTTCATAATTATAACACTTGGAAGTTCATATGGCAGTCCCTGCAGACAAGTATCTACTCGTTTATGTATGTTGCTTGGCAAACCTTACGAGAGATTATCGCAATGGGTAAAAGGTAATAGGTAAAACCGTTGTCGCTGCGATCTTCAGGCTCGTTTCAGAGTGGGAAGAGAAAGGAGGCGCCAGATTGGAGAAACAGTGCATTCCGTATAGAGAAATTGGAGGAAGCTGACTGTCGGAAGAGCATACGTCTAGACCCGGGAGGGGCCGCATCTGAAGTTGGTGAGCGTGGCAGTCGTCACAGCGAGGCGCTGTGTGAGTCAGCCTTGATAATGATTGGCCAGACAGGATTGGGGAAATGCAGGCGTTGGTGCTTGCGCACTTGCTAGCAGCTAAGAGTGCGCGTGCACTCGGAGGTGGGTCAGTAAAATTCCCTTTCGTGCGACGTGAAACGTAAAATGCAGTTAGTCTAGAGAGAAAAAACGGCACATGCAGTTTGCAACTGAGCGAAAACCCGGGCAGTTCTTGAGAATGCGAGGAAATGACAACAAAACAGATGCGGGACGTTTTGTAGACCTAGTTTTAACGAACATCTGCACCAAGGGCAATTCCACGTTGAGTTACTTCAAAGCTGTTACATCAGTCGAAACTTCTACAAGTTAACCAGCTTCTTCCCGTATCTTGGTGATACCTCCCGTCGACTCTTTCTCGGATGCTTAACGCTGTACCTTCCTTA